GAGGAACTGGCCAAATGCTGGTGGATCCAGATTTTAAGTTTTAAAAATCACCAACATAGTATCTAAGACCCCTATGTTCCCACAAGGGCCACCCTTGATGTCTGCTGGATTCCCTGCCCCAATGCAAAACATAAATATTTAATTTTTTAAAAAAAGGGAAATTGGCAAGTTTGAAGGCAAAGTGCCAGTTTCCTTAAAAAATAAAACAAGATGGGAAGTTCTAACCCTATTAGAAAGTATGCCTACCTACCCAGAGAAAGGGAGAAAGGAAATCAGGCATTTTGCTGGAAATGATCTAGAAGAGTCGGCAAAAAGGCACATCTCTTCAAGATGTTTGCAGATAATCCTTGAGAAAAGCTTTCTATCTTCTAGTTTTAACATATGTTCATTATTAATAAGTACAAAAGGCTAGCCTATGTTGAAAGTCTCCTTGAATTGCCTGAGATAGCCACTCCATTTTCTATCTCCCTTTAATCATGTTCCAGCTTTGCACATACACAAGACAGTCTAACAGGAAGACTGCCATTTCTTTATCATTCTCACTTCTGGAGGAACTCTTGATAGTAACCATCTCTACCGATCCATTTGGCCAAGATTTACTGCTGCTCAGTGGCCAGAAAAGGGAAAGGTATCAATCAGACTCATTCTATTTGAGTAGGGTCAAACCTAGCCAAATGCCCTTGTTCATAGCATGTTACTAGTTTTTCTGAAGTCCCTGGCTGACTTACTGACCCAGCTAAGATCAATTAATGAGATGCTATTGAACTGAGAATCCTAAGTAATCTTGGTTTCTTCACATCAAAAACAGCTATACCTGCGCACACACGTGGAGACAGCGTTCAAAGAGCCATGTGAGCTTCACAAAAGTCACAGTTGTTTTAATGATTCAGATGCTTCACTCTCATTACTGTGTTGGAATGCTTTGCACACTCACCACATGACATAAAAAGATAGCTTTATCTGAAAGATCAAACTTTTTAAATTGCTCTTTTCCTAGGTCTTTTTTTGCCTAGTAAAACTTCCTCACCTCCAACATCTAGGATACCGTTTACTTCTACCAAAACAGGAATGAAGACACAACAGGTGATCAAGATACAAGGAGAATCTCTCAGTGCAGAGGCTTTCTGTTCCCAGCAATATGCACAAGCAGAGAAAGTCTGGTGCAAAGGGGAACTGCTGGAAGAATGCACTCTTGAAAAGCCTATAAACTTCTCCAGAACAGGGTGGAAGTATCTTACTACAAAACCAAATCAACGTGTCATTCTGAATGATTCAGGAAATGGATGTACCTATGTCTTCATGTCAGCTCTTCAGTTAGAAGATACCGGGATATATTGGTTTGGGATTCTTGATGGCCCCAATATAACCCCTTTAAGAAAAATCAGGGTGATTGTTCAAAAAGGTGAGCACTAACAGATAATTGGGGCAGGGGGTGCCTTCACATACAAGGAAGCTTCTGAGGCAACTCAGGATGAAGCAACACATACCTTTAAAATGTACATTGTCTACTTTACAGATGTTTGTGCTCATGTTAAGACTTTGCTGGGCAAAAAGGATGTATTTTAGAAAAAGTGATTGATGTTGGAGGGATGTAAATTTTTTTTTTTTTAAAACAAACCTGTTTTTAATTGCCTGTGGAAGCATTCAGGCATGTGAATCTCCCACCTACAATCTGCATTGGTATGTCCCATGGCAGCTCCACTGATTTCTCTGCAGTGGAACATACCACCACCACTACCACGATAAAAACAACTAGACAACCCACGAACTGTTGGGTCATAATTTCAGAGATATTTCCTTACCTAAACAGAGAAACAGAATGACCAAGGGCAAAAAAGCAGTGGGAGTGGGAGTGATTTACAACTTGCTGCTGGCTTCCCCGTTGACTTTGCTTGTGGGAAGCTGACAGGGAGCATCAGAAATCTTCCTTCCTCCCTCCCTCCCTCCCTCCCTCCCTTTCCACATATAATATAGGCTTGTGCCATTTGCCCTCCCCTCACAACTCTCAGGACAGCCCCAGTGAAGCCTCCACCTCCTTGGCTGATCCACAGAACTGCCTGCCACTTTCCTGGGAGGAGGTGGAACAAAGGGAGTCACGGACTGTGAGGAAAACTGCACCCTTTCCTCATTCTGGCATGTTCCCAGGGGACCCCTCCCTCAAGGAGGGAAGAGGGCTCACCCGTCAACTACCAGCACCCCCCAGCCAGCCCTACTTCATCAGCAGGCATCCAAGCTGCTCCCTCATCCTTCCCTCAATGCCCACCACCATTAAGAGATTTCAAATTTTGGCCTTGGTTCCAAAGCCACCAATTGTCGTTCACCCATCAGGCCTTGCTGCCAGCTGACTGGGGGCAGGGGATAGAGGGAGGCGGGAAAGAGGTCATGTATATGCCCATGATGATCACATGACCTGGGCTGACTGTGGCAGCACGGCAGTGCTGAAGCGACCAGAAATTTCCCAAAATTCAATCCCATGGGAGTAATGGGGCCTGGATTTTGGATGCATTCTGTAAGTTAGCCCATTTGAGGTACCTTGGTTCAAAAACTGCTGCCCTATGATGCACTGTTTTGCCCAGTTGAAGGTTACAGACATGAGAGTTTTAGTAATATATATATATACAAAATATCAGTTGCATTACTGAAATAACAGTGTCCTTTTCACTAAGAGAGTAGGCTTGTGCTCGCCCCATTTGAGGTACCTTGGTTCAAAAACTGCTGCCCTATGATGCACTGTTTTGCCCAGTTGAAGGTTACAGACATGAGAGTTTTAGTAATATATATATATACAAAATATCAGTTGCATTACTGAAATAACAGTGTCCTTTTCACTAAGAGAGTAGGCTTGTGCTCGCATGTAGTTAGAAGAAATGCTTTGGATTTGGTGTTTGCATAATCACAGATTCTCTCTGCTGTTCATTAAAACGGCTGTCTTTTTCAGCCTTCCATGCATACCTTAAAAAACTGCTTTAAGAACTTTGTTATATGTTCACTTCTTAAAGCAGCAGCTTCTTTTCTTCAGGCTTACCTGGAAGTTTGAACAACAAAAAAAAAAAACCCAGGTTGCTTTAATGAGTAGAAGAGAGGTGCTGTTTTTACATAAAGTCCAAAGCACTTCATTTTCAAAGTGTGCACAACCCTAATACAGATCATTTCAAATACCTCAATAGAGGGTCATGTTTTTTCATTGTTTTCAAATTTTAAACATACTGTGTCACTTAATAATTTTGAGGAGATATTAGTACATAGTGAAAAGAACTAGATCCAAACATATCTATAAAGAGCAGCAATGATAAAGCCAAACATCTCAGTTTCTTTTTTTGGTATAATTTTATTTTCAGAACAGCAAAAAAAAGATATTGCAACAGCAACCAGTGAAGATGAAAAAAGGTAACAACCATTTAAGTTACAATTTGGAAATATTAAGAAATTGTGCTTGCTGCAGGATCTATTTATTTCTGCACTCTTTGAGACACCACAGTTAGTTTCAACCAATTATTCAAGCAAAGATACATTTGTAGATCTTGCCTCTTCCACTAACAGATTATTAAGTATCTTAGGGCATTCCCAGTCTTCTTTTAATAGCTTGGAAGTGTTCTGATTTGTGGTATGGTATCTGACATAGTTTTCTGTAGGGGGTCTTCATCTTTCTTTCACTACCAAGTTCAAGCCATTTTCATTCTTCTGTTTCCCCCTGAAAGCCAAGTAATATATGATTATGTACTTCAGGTACAAAGGTAGTCTGCCAAATTGTCCATTAACTCGATTTAATTAATGCAACTGTGATTATTTCAGAGTTTATCAAGTTGTCTGGGTTCTGGTTTCCATTGCTGTTGGTGTAACAATTTTTGCTGCCTTCACATTAGTTGTCATGGTGCTCATCAAGAGAAAGAGGAGAGGTATGTTTGGAGCTTCTTTTGTCTTCATACAGCTCAGATTTTCTTGCATATTTTATAGGAACCCATCAGAATAGTAATGAATATGAATGTAGCTTAATATGACATTAAGAAACTATCAGAATTGCATTCCAAGATGAAATTATTTGGATAGCCTTTGAGGTTTCATATTCATTTTACACTGTTTAAACAGTATTGTTATTTGTAAATATAGAAAAAACCTTTGAGGCTGAAATAGTAAGAACTGGGATTTCTGTCCAAGAGATGCCATTGTGCATCAACTGACTTCTACATTATTCCATCTATTAAAAAGAGGGAGTAAATGTGCAAAGTAGATCGACTAAGAGGTGAGACAATAGAAATCATGGCCTTCTGCACCTTTCTGTAACCTTTCTATGTCCCATTGACCTATCACCTAGAACTATTTTATTTTATTGACATGAAAATATAGATCATCTGGAAGACTTCCAAATAAATAAATCCCAGACTATTTTGAAAATAATGATAATACTAGAGTCTGGCATTTTTCTTTGCACTATGCTAGTTTCTAATGTATTATACATTTTAGGTAAAAGAATCCTTACAGAATAGTCAGAGATGGGGAATTTTTTTTAGTACCAAGAGAGTATCCATGGATACATTAGTGCCCATAGACATTGTCTTATATTAGTAGAACAGAGGGATACAGAATTGGCTGCCAAGATCCTATGACCTGCAGTGTATGTACAAGGTATATTTCTCACAACATAAAGAGGTGAGAAGAAAATATCTAAAGTTATGTTCCTTGGGTTTCATAGTTTTGGATTCACCTAACATAAACATAAATTTCTTCAACAGTGAAAAGATGGAAAGGATTTGACCTTGCAAGAATGTTATGCATCTCTCAGCACTTCCTATCCTGCTTTCCAGTAGGAATCTTGCCACAGCACTTTTCTTTGTGCTGCATGTTTCTTGGCTTCAGCAGTTGAGATGGAGTGCAGAAAAAACTGTAACAGCTTTTCAGCTTAGGCCAGGTGCATACCCGTCAGCAAAGAAGATGAACTTGTAGCCTCTTCCAGATGTTGCTGAACTACAACAGCCACATCTCACACCATTAACTATGCTAGGTATTGATCTGCTAGGTATTGTAGGTCAGCAACATCAGGATGACCATAAGTTCCATATTCCTAATGGAAAGGAAAAAGAGATAACATTTTTCCAATACTACAGAAAGTACTACAATACAGATCCAGGAAGGGAGAACCCATACTTCCATAGGCTAATTTTCTTCCTGGATTAGGATCTTTATATATAGACCAGATGTGGATATGCATCCAGAATTTCATATGGATGTGAAACATATGACACCATCATCATCAGTATGACTTGGTGCAGAGGCAGATGCTTGCTTTCAATTATTTTGCAAAACATAAATATAGTCTATTAACATCCTCTTTATTAATGCTGAATATCAATTTACTGTGAGCATCAAGGTCAGTAGCTTTTATATTCTTCACTGTTACAGAGATGATGTTCAAACTTGAAATACACAGTGCAGAAAAAAAACAATATACAGAGTTTGGATCAAACATTTGAGTGTCTCACTTTCAGCAAACCACAAAAACAAGCAGGACCAAGTTTGCCGATTAATGTATATTCAATCAGAAGTTACAAACCATTATGGATATCTGACAAATGTATCCATAAAATAGATGTGCTTTCCATTTTATTTTTAGTTGTATACATGATGTTTAGAAGCGCAGCTAAAACCTTAACATGTGAATTGGCCCAAAGGCAGGAACATTTATATACTAAAATGAGACTCTCTTCTTAATAGCAGCAGATGACCTGAATTTTGGTGATAATCCAAACTGTAGAGTAATATCATTACAGGTAAGATACCCCTTTCACAAGTCAGGAGAAATTTTGATCATAAACAGTTTCTTGCCTATAGAAAATTCATTGTACAAGTACTATAAATTTTTACAGGGACAGATAGGTTTTCTTTGCCACCATCCTACTCAGCTCAGACTTTTGTAAACAGATGTGCAGAGGTTCTGGGATTTGTATTTGGCTAGAGCTGTAACTTCTTTCAAGAAAACAAAAACAAATCTATTAATTATGTCTGCGTCATAATTACTGAAATCTGAACAATTTTCATTGCCTAGCATTAAGCTACAAACTAGGCATTAAACTTTAGTGTGCCTTTAAGTTCGAAATTCCTGAAAAACAGTATCATACAAGCCTATGTCTGATTACTCGGAATTTAATGTGGACTTCAGGAAATATTTAATTCATTGCTGTTAGAATGCCTGTAAATTGTCTTACTCAATAACATACACATTTTCACTCAACCTGTTTTCACAGAGAATAGTGAAAATAGCATCTCTGTGAAAACAGCATCTCTGTGTTTTGTTTACTTGGATTTACAGAAGCACACTGAATTCCTTCAGGTTTAGAACAAAAAAAAATTTGCTCTCATTCTTAATTAAGAAATGTAATTTTATAGAATGGGAAGGGGGAGGCAAAAAGTTGCTCCCACTTTGATTTCTGTCATGGCCCAGCAAGACTCAGGATTTGACAGCATTTCAACTAACCCATTTTTAAAAACATGTCAGTTTGGCTACACCAGAGCATATGCACGTTAAGTTACAAATCCATAACATAAATACAAATGTATATACATATCTCCTTGTACAGTGTTTAAAATGGAATATGGTCAAATAAGAGATTAATTTTAAAAGGTGTGTTTCTTTTCTTATCAATGTTCAGATTCATGAAAACAACACTGCCAACAGTTTGCACAAGGAAATGAATACAATATATTCCATACTGAAGAAGCCCACATCAAGCATAGACGTCAACAGAACATTTCCATTAAGATCAAATATCTACAAACATTCCAGGGAGTCAATTGGTGTGCTTTCTTCTTCAGGATCTATGGAGTATGCAAGCATCTTTTAATCACATTTCACCTTTTGGGGTCCAAAAATAAAATGAACGTAGTTACTCCTCACTTCTATAAACTCTGGACTCCTGGATTCCAACAGTGAGAATTTCATTAATTTTAGCATTAAGGTCTCTCCTAGATATTTCCTTCATTTCTCAGTGTTGGACTATTATAATTTTAAGAGCTGATAGGCTAAAGTCCTGAAACGCCACTATCTGAAAGATGTGTACGAGTTCACAATCAGATGCTGCTCTGTGAGAATACACAATCTTGCAACCACTTAGATGCAGACAATTGAGTCCCAATTCTTCATATGGGTCATGAATCTCTTCTTTGTGCTTATACTACTGAGGAGAATTAGTGGTTTGTTTTACAACTATTTTGAGGTAAGAGAAACAAAAACTAGCTTAAGCCTTAACATAGTATAAAAAGCAAAAGAAACACCAACCAAACAAGAATAAACATCTGGAATGAACTAGACTGCATACAGATAAACACTGACTACACTGTGAATGAATCACATAGGCTGAGGTTCTTTTGCTCCTTTTTTTAAGGCTCCAAGTTTCATCTATTCTATGGATGCTTTAATCTCTTCATAAATGTAAACTGTAGCACATAATATGTATTTAAATTACTGATAAAAACAGAATTCATGTTTATGCAAGTGTTCTTCCTTGTATGAGCAAAATTTATGCTTGGGAAGGGACAAGGGCTATTATATGTAACACATTACTGTACAATTAAACCTGTACATGTTTCAAGCAAAGTTTTTTTTCCCTCCCCCTTGAAATGGTGTCCCTTTAATTACAGCAGTGTCTCTTTATAAGTGTGAGCTAAGGCCAAATAGCAGGGATCAGATGAGGTATATAAGTGAGAAGTGAAAATCTTCTTTATTTATGTACTTGTCTCCTTAGCTGAGCTTTGATACCAGGAATGTATTTGGGTATGTGAAAACTACTTGAAAAAGGATGCAGGGATAAGGCAGCTGGCAGAAAAAGGGAAGACTCTTCATCCTTCATCCCAGGCAAGCAGTGCGTGGGTGCCGCAGGGGGGATGCTGCGGGTAGGTGGGTGGGTCGGTGCTGTCACGGGTAGGCACTACAGAATGTGGACGAGTGCACAAGTGCCATGGGGAGGCACTATGGAGCATGGGCAGGTGCGTGGGTGCTGTGAAGGAGCGCCGCAGGCAGGCGCTACAGAAAGCGGGTGGGTGCTGCAGGCAGGCACCATAGAGTGTGGGTGGGCAAAAAAGTGGCAGGAGCATGAGCGACTTCCAACTTCCTGATGACTTCTCCATTGACTTTGCTTGTGGGAAGCCAGCAGGGAAGGTTGGAAATTGCGATCATGTGACCACGTCTCACTGCAACGTCGGAATTGAGAGCCAGACACTGAGCACCCAGATCATGACCATGGGGACACTGCAACAGCCAGAACTCCGAGGACCAGTCATAAGTCCCCTTCGTTCAGCGCCATGGTAACTTTGAATGGTCACTGAACAAGTGGTTGTAAGCTGAGGACCAGCTGTACTTGTCTAAGTAGTTAGATACTGATCACTTATACTT